GTGGAGATTGCTCAGCTGATCAGTTCACTTTTTTTTCTGTCACTCCACTTCTCACACTCCTTTGTAACAGGTCACAGACTGCAGGGCCACCTTAGTTGGTGTGAAAGTGACATACTTGCGTATCTGTTAGTGCACACAGACTATGATTATAGTGCCTGTTTTTCCATGTGTGGTTATAATTAATCACACAGGTGATTACACAAACAACCTATTATGTCATTACATATTATAATCATCATTATCTAAAGTGAACATGCTGTCAGTATTGCAGTAGTAGATAAACATTTTCATATTAGGTTAGATAAATCATTGTGTAGGCTTGAGTGAGAGCACTGTGTAGTAAAATTAGCCTGTGTCCTTAGTTGGCTGTTGCAGTATTAAGTGCTGCACTGTATTCACAGTGAACTGGGGAGCCCAGCTTTTGTAAGAACGGTGTATTTAACAAAAACAAAGCAAAACAAAAAAACCAATAGTTAACCTTTGTGTAGTCCCCTAAAAATGAAGATCCCACCCTTCTTCCAAGTATCTAGGAGTGACAGTGCGATCAAAGTCTATCGCAGGAGATGGGTGTGCCAAAGGATTGATATCAAAGAGTCAATATTTACTCATAATAGGAAAGCCTACCAAAATAAAACACACAGTGCAATGCAATATAGCTTTTACATTGGGTCCTACAATGGATAAAGGTGCACACTGCAATCAGTTTTATTCTTATTTAGTACCAAGACGGTCCAGTAAACAAGGCAGTTGCTTTGCTTTATCTGCAATGAAATACAGAATTAAAGACCTGTTTGTGATCACACCTCTGTGCCTCTTTGCAGTACAGCGCAGTGGACTCGAATCCCCTGTCCATCTACGTCATGCATCCTTTCTGGAACCTTGTTGTGAAGGTGAGGAAGACCCGTCCAGCTTAATGTGTCAGTTGCAGGCTACATCATTAATGAGATTTCCAGCCGTGTGCTGTGATACAGTAGCGAGAAGACCTGATGCATTACCAGCGCTCATTTTTCTGCCAGTGTCAGAACACATCAGTCACTGATTGTAATGGTTTGTTTTAGATTTGGGAGGATTTTTTGTTGTTGTTGTTTTTAATGCTGTCATTTAACCAGACAGTCATTTGAAAAGGTTCATATTAATATACATAAATCTTCTATTCAGCAGTACTAATTAAATTCCAGTTATTCAATATGCCATTACTATGATGAGAAAACTGTGTGTGAGAGCTGAGTGCCATGATCATGAATTGTTGTTCTCACAGCCTTTTTTTTTTTTTCTCACTCTTTTCTCAACAGTTTCTACCCACATGGTTGGCACCAAACCTCATTACATTTACAGGCTTTATGTTCCTTGTGTTGAACTTCCTCATGTTGGCCTTCTACGACTTTGACTTCAATGCATCTTGTAGGTCATTCACTTTTTCTTTTTTCTTAAACTGGGGAGGGTTGCTCAGTTTGTTTTCCCCTCAAACAGACTAGACGTGGGTTGAATCCATCGCTGTTGTCTAGAGTAGGAAGAGAGATTCAGACATGTGCAAGTTTGTTTATGGAAGGCAAAGTCCAGCGATTGACTGCCGATGGTGCCTCATGGTAATCACTAACCCGTTACGTCATTCACACAGGCAACAACACCCAGGGAGCTGTTCCTGTTAACATGCTAGAGTACATCTCTGTATTGCAAATAAGATACTTTGCTCTGGCATGTTTGCTGTCCAATCTAAGTGGTTACCTTATACACACATAAATGAAACACTCATGGACAAAAGGCTGACCTCTACAGTCAATATGAGGGCCAGTCAGGATTTCTTCTGTCAGTACTGAGCTCTTACAGGAATAGCTAATCCAAACAGTGCACACATATTAACAGTTGTCCTAAAATATTGACTTTTTTAGATTGGATAACATTGGTCTAATGAGTGGAATCAGTAATGTGGAAAGTTTCTCTAGTCTAAGTTTTTCATGATCTCCATGTGTCGTGCCATATACTCACAATGTTTGTTTCTCAGCTGCAGGATACCAACACGTGCCTAGTTGGGTCTGGGTTGCAGCGGGGATCTTCAACTTCTTAGCCTATACACTTGGTGAGTTCTGACCTCTGCAACTCCATGTGGCTTGTTTTTATTTTTATTGTACATTTTTTTCCCTTCTTACTCACGGGAAGTAGAGAAACTCACAGGGAAGTGCAGTGCCTCTCGAAAGCTTAAAGGCCCCTATTCTGTTTTTGTTTCGGATGTTTACTTTATAGAATGAGGCACGCAGACACCTGTTTTTCTGTTTTTGCTATAATTGGATTGTTTATATGCACTCATGTTACATCTCATAGCATTACATTTTCATTTTTTAGAAGTATCTCTAACTGAAATCATAAAAGTTATCAGAATATTTGTAACTTGAATCAGATAAAGCTGCACTTGTCTGTCTAAAGCTATGCATGACATCCTGGAGGTATGTCTATGAAATATAAGGGACTAACCACCACTGCAACAACATTATAAGAGTACATATATTGCACTCCCAATTCTGATATTTATATATTTTATTTAAAAAAAAAAACTTGAAGTAGGGCTGCTCGATTATGGCAAAAATGATAATCACGATTATTTTCACTGAAATTGAGATTATTTGACGATATTTATTTAACAATAACAATGTATTCAATAATGACTTTAAAGATAATAAAAAATAATATATTAATAGTGTGCAAATACTGATAACAGTGCAAATGTTTGCAATATAAAAATAAATGAAAAATGTACTTTGCAGTGTTGCTCTGTGGTGCAGCTACGAAACTGTAGCAAAGTTTACACACTGTGTCTACTTGATCCACGTCTGACTCCGCCAACCCATAATGTTTCCACACCACTGAAGTTTTTTTACCTCTCTTTTCAACCAACGGCAGTCACTCTCCTCTCCAAATAACTTCTGCTTAGCTTTCCGAGCTTCCCTCGGGTCCTCTTTGTTGTGACACGTGTTCGAAATGCAGAGAGGTGCGCTCGATTTGCCACACGGAGCAGCGCGAGAGTAAAGCACGAGGGAGGGGCTAATAATCGGCTCAGTCATTTTTAATGATCGTTGAAAGCCCAGATCGTAATCGTGATTAAAATTCGATTAATTGAGCAGCCCTAACTTGAAGGAAAGCATATTTGAAATAAAATTGTCTGATATTCAGTATGACGTGTGGTTGTCAAGGCTTCAAAAAAGAGACGTATCTTCTGACAAGTAGCAAGGTTGGTCCAGGCTGGAAAATGTCATTGGGGAAATGGATTTCAGTACATATGGCTGCCCACTTAATAGCTATAACATAAGTACAGTGGTCCCTCGCTATAATGCGGTTCACCTTTCACGGTCTTGCTGTTTCGCTGA